GGCAGACAGTGCAGGGTATGTTACAGAAAATTGAATGAAACCGGTAACACAATGTTTCTTATTGTAATTGCATAGTTGTACACTACCTCTAGAGAAATGGAGCTGGCTCAGTGTAATCAGTCTATTACCATCTTGATACTGTATTACAAATGACAAATATAGACCTCAGAAAGTGGCAAAACAAATAAAAACGCTTGCATAATAGCACTTCAAAGAAGCAAGGCAAATTGATACCACGTGTGTTCATGTGGATATGTCCGCAAACCATGATAGGCCAGATTTTGGTGTGTGAACTGTGAGGCACCTGTATCAACGGGGTAAGAGAAGTGGAAGATATGATTCTTGTAATCATAATTTATGATTACTCAAGATTTGGCATTCCTGTTATTACTCCAGTAATGACGGGTGTCCTGAGACAAACACCTGAAAAAATAAACATTGCCGGGCGTCCTGCCAGTGTGATACTGTATCGGGGCTCGTACTACGACACAGCCACGCGTGTAACCACCAGGAATCTTTTAATTACGGCTTCAAAATATACTGGCGGCAATGTCTTTTAATAATTTTGATAGGATGCCTTTTATGCCTCTCAAAATGGGACTTTTTCCTAGAACCATAAAGGATGAGGTGAAAGGTGGTTTGATGCAGAAATTGTGGAGGGGCATCACTACTAGCATTTTATCCAAAGCCCTCATTTGAGGACTTGTAGGCCGGGTGCACACAAATGCTCATGTGTGATGTCAAGACTCTGCCTCCCTTTTTTCTGTTTAAGCACTTATTTGCCATTTCCCAGTGTTAATATTCGTTATTTGTTAAGCTGTATTCAGATGTAAATATACCATTTTCCTTGCAACAACTCCATATCTCTCAAGGTAGTCCTTAAGTTTATGTAATGATAATGAAATAATAATAATATTATTATTATTATTATTATTATTATTATTATTATTAAGTAACACTTAGTTATGTTCCATTTTCTTATTTTTTTGTAATATTAAATTATCTGGAGAACAACCTGTGCCCGGAGATCAAAGCAGGCTGGAATAGGATCCTGAACCTGGAAAGAATGTTCTCCCTGGAGCTGTCTCTCTTCGGTTATGGCTCATAGATGGTATATTCCACATTTTACTGACAGGAATAATGCAGTGACCCTTCCTAAATGCCCACTGAGTCTATTCACCTAAGATCTTTGTGCACTTAGGGCAAGTCATTCCTGTCACCCCAGCCCTCAGCTGAAATTCTCATGATCGTATGTTGCCATTGTGCAACCCTCAGCCAAATTTCTCTAAGAGCAGATATCATGTTGCCCAAATGGTAGGGTTTAGCCCAGTGACACTGGGCCAAAAACTTTGCTATCAAGCACTTTCCTTGGGAACTGTTGGAATATTCTGCTTGGCCTTTGCTGTGTGTGGCTGGCCCGACTAGCCCACCATAGAATTCTGACAATAAGAGCTATACTAAGCTTGTACCTGCCTCATAGCCAAGATGCTGTATGACAGCCATTCCTGAGGTTAAGCAAAAAAACAGCCAAATTCTTATGTATTTGCCCAGATGAATATATCAGAAGAAAGTGAGTTGCGATTTGGTAATCTAAAGATGAAAATGTAGAAAATGAAACAAGAACCACCAATCCTTTGTGGGGATCCTGTGGTATATTGGTACAAGTTGCCCAGCATCCTTACCTCTGATAATATTTAGTATAAAAGTCCCTATGTGATAGTTGTATGGTCAGAACCTATTTTGAATGGTATGATCTAAGGTGTATGGTCAAAAATCATATGGTAAAATATTTGAGAGCTGCAATGACACGAAAGTGATTGCTATGGCTTATGTCTCTGGCAAAAGCAAACCAATTCCACCTCAAGCATTCTGGCATAATATAGCTAGACCTTCCTGGCAAATGCAGTTTAAGGGGGGCGTCATGCCCAAGAACAAAGTTCGTCAGTTGTGATTGGATATTCGAGATTTTTTAATATGTTATACATAAATATAAAGTGATAAACACTAAGTTTCATATCATTCGGCCAATAAATAATAAAGTTATTAATAAAAACAAGTTTTTGAACAATCACAGCCTCTTAAAAATGGCAATTATCCTTTGAACAAATTTGTTGAAAAAAATTACCACCTAGAGTCTATAGCAATACCTATAATTTGCAAAGACCAGAGTTTTAAATTTCGTTTCAGTTTAGTTTCTTTAAGAAAATCATCGCAAATATATTCAGCTTTTAAATGATCCAAACCCATAAGAATTGCCAATTATTTATGGATGAATTTTTAAAATGCTGACAAATATTGCCAAGAGTGTAGTTTTGAGATAACGGGTTCAGAAATTTTAGATTTCCCTCGATTCCCCCCCCCCCCCCCTGAATTCTAATCTCTGCGGCAATCTTGCTGCATTCTATTGCGTTCACATGGTATTCTGAAGTGTAGCTGGTACATGGTCTCCCCCTTTTGCAAAGTACTAATGGTATTAACTGCAAATGATTGTAGAAATTCCCGTTGGAGCACATGGTTTGTAAGGCTTAACCTGACGACGTGAGGTATTTAAATGTATAAACAACTGCTGCAGCTGTGATTTAGAAGTATTTCCTATCATATTACGTCTATTATATGCTAATCTAGCATCTACAATTAATAGTGCACCCTTACTGTATGATGAGGCCGTACGTCTGTGGTATGGTGACATGGAGCTAGGAGCTGGCAACCTTTCTCTGATTTTCTGGTGGAGTTTAGTCTCCCAGAGCCGCAGTCTTTGTGATCAGCTGATGGTAAACAGAGTTGCCAGCTAGCTACCAGAGAATTCCAAAATAAAGAAAAAAGAAAAAAAAATCATAAATTTTCACGGATGCGACAACAATGTAAACATTGGAGGGGGGCGGGGAGGCAGAGATTTAGTTATAACTCCTTTAATTTTACATATTTAGCACAAATATTACATCACAAGATTGCCAAAGCCCACTAGATTACAGGAGATAAAAAAAAGTATTTTTAAAATTTCGTTGCGACGGCCCCCTTAACCCATTGGCGCTGGGTGTCACGTACGTACATGCCATGGCTGTTGTGGACCAAACACCAGGGGCATCATGCCATGCCCATTCCCGCGCTACTGGCTCGTCGGATGGAGGTTGTTTTTCCCCAGTAGTAGCGGCTTCATTTATATGGTAAAGATTTTAGGCAATGGCACCTAAAGTAAAGGTAAACCTTTAAAATTTTAATATTTTGATAAATTTTAGCAAAATAAAAGCTTTTAGGTGCTATTATGTCGCTCGCAAACTACCGATCAAGGCGGGCGCAAACAGGGGAAACTGCCGGTGCGCGCCAACAAGCCAGTGCATACGTAAACTTGCCAAAATTTTACCTGTTGCTGATGGGTTAAATTCCGTTTTGCTGAATAGGAAAGTTTTGTTGGTTTTTGCTGGAATTTTAAAGGCTAATAGACCATAGCAGATACTTGGGACTCTGCAGACATATTGGTAGGTTTTATCTTTCGAGTTTTGGCTGGAAATCCTAAAAAAATATGAAGTAGAGTGCCATCGTCACTTGTCACTGCAGCTATCTCTTATTCTGCCTTCCATGTAATATAATAATTAGTTTTTAATAATTCATTTTTAGTTATAGTAACATAGTTTGTGTAGGTTGTACATTATCTAGTAGCGAGTACATTAATTAAGGTAACATTAACTAAAAAGCTTCAAGTTAGAGTATGAAGTTCATGATCCTTAACCTGATTACTTCTTCTATTACTGCTGTCTGTCTGTGTCTGTCATTTGAGAATTTGAGATTGAGATATAACTTGGGATGAAATAGTTGTACTCATATCAGTAACATTTAAATAGACCTAGTGGGTTAGATTTGATGTTTAACTGCTTCGATGACATAAAACTCTCTCCACTAGTAGACGAACCTCTTGGAGTTGATTTATTTTGCTTTTAGGAAGAGGCTTTTGCATTATGTCCATGAGCCATGACTGGAAGAGCACCAGCTCAAGGGAGGATGCCATTTCCATGCTCAGGATCCTATTCTTAGCCGCTGTGTACTGGGGTCCATGTTGTATTACAGAAAATTGAAGGTTACGAAAAATGTAAAAAGTGGCAAACAACGAAATGTTACATACTTTTATATGTTTTACACTAAGATATTTACTATCTAGAGAGATTATATGGAGTCTGAGCAAGGTAAATGGTCCATTACCATCTGTATGAGGCACATCAAATGACTGATATGGATATTGGAAAATGGCTAAAAAAAAAAAAAAAAATGCTTATAAAGAGAAAATGATATTGTAAAGGGGAGGCATAAGTCTTGTCACTGCACATGAGAGATTGTGTGTGCCCTCCCTACAAACTGTGCACCCATCAGAGCAGCTTTTCACGTTAGCCTAATGCCCGTAATTTGGTCCATGTGATTGCTGTGAAGCAACTAGATCCAAGGGTTAAATGCACATTTGCAGTGAGGCCAGGTCTCGTATAGCCTCCTGGTAGCATTCTTGGCAAGCAGCATGCTTTTGGCAGTACCAAGAAACTTTCATTACATGAAAGTTGGATAGTAACGGAGTATGAACATTAAAATATCTTTATACCAAAATATTTCTGTCGGTGTAGGTAGGTATTACCAATGTTTTCTTTATTTAATAGGTCTTTATAGCTACTTATCTGCTTTACCAAAAAAGTACCCATATGTATATATTCTGAAAATTATCATAAGCTATTACCTGATTCATTCATGTGTGATGTAAACATGCAAAATTGATGCCACTACACTACAAAATAAGAGCCACATACTTGCATTAAATAGAAGAAAAAGTTCAATTTTAACAGTTTCAAAAGTATTTCAAATGATAGATGATCTTATAATTGATATGTAACACTAACCCCTGGTTAATTGAATAGCAATATGAATGATTTTAATGAATATGAAATGGAGCAGTTAAAATTATATTAATCATAATATTTCTACCCCAAGCAGACATGCAGAGTGACGGAACATACCACCTCAAAATCCTTGTCCAAGCGTGGCAGCTGGTGCCATAATTGGCAAGGGAGGTGAGACTATTGCTCACTCCAGAAAGATACAAATGCCCGAGTCAAGATGTCAAAGGCAAATGATTTTTACCCAGGTGAGTGTTTTATGTTCTTATTTTTGTGTGTGAAAAGTTTAGCATTATTGCTGTTGAAAGTTCTCCTTGTTTCAGTAACAACAATGTTGAATCTTGTTGTCTTATTCTGTTTGTCTGAAGCACGATTGTTTTTGTTTGCTATGAAAGATATTCTATACATATTAGAAAGAAAAAACACCAAATTACTTCTTTTGTGTATGTTTGTCTTTACACAAGTATATACACCTATTGTTAACCTCAGTTTGCAAGTTTCAAGTTAGTTACAAGTTAGGATTAGAATTATTTTGCTTATAGATATATTAATGTTTAGAGCTGGATCTGAACTAGAATCAGTACCTCTAGTGGTTAAATAATGGCTTACTGTGGTTGAAATTTATGGCTTATAAAGATCTGAATGACCAATTTAGTTTTTACTGTTTCCATGGTTTGCAAAATTATCTTTGAAATGATTTCTGGAGTATGACATAGATAAAAGTCCAATGATTCTCATTTGCAAATATATAATTGATCCTATTTTTGCAAGTGTTCAAAACTAGTCCTCATACTGAGGAAATATACATTTTTTTTTTTTATTATGTAGTTATTTTTATGAATAGCTATTATGCATATACATGTTTTCTCAGCAGGTAAATTATTTGAGACCATGATTATATGACTTCATCCATTACATATTAGTCTTCATGTAAATCGTTTCCTTGCCATTGCTTGAGCATGCTGCGAATGTTTTGTTGACAAGGGCAAGGGCTTAGCTTCTTTCTTTTTGTTGTGTGAGCATGTTCTGTGTGACTAGTCTCACACACTTGGTTTATATAGATGCTATACAAGAGTGGTGATTGGAGAGTGGACATGGAGAACTAAGCCTGCATCTTGTATATGTTCCAGATGTTGAGAGATAAAAGATTATGAAGGTGATTATTATTATTGCAGTCTACAACTGCAATTAAATGGAAAGAAAAGAAAGAGATAGGCTGACACTTATAGCATTGTTTTTCTTTACTTCTTTTTCCAGTGCTGAACTTGATTTTTAACATTGAAACTGCATTTTACTGCAAATAAAACTGAATAGGAATTGAAGATTAACCTTTTAAATACAAGGTAAACTTGTGATTCATAGATAACAAAAGGGTTTTCCTTATATAGTTCAAAACTTTAAGCTGGACTCCAAGAACTCACTCCCTTAGAAGATTGTGGTCCAACTGAAAGTAGGAAATGATTCAGGGCAAAATAAGGACTACTCCCAAGATTAGGCAGTGGGAAAGAGTCCATATTTGCAATGACACCAATTCGGTTAACTCTATGGTGACAGTCCATATTTGCAATGACACCAATTTGGTTAACTCGATGATGACAGAGCCTGAATTTTTTTGTGTTGTATTAAGTAACAGTCTACTTTGAGGCTAGGCCTGCTGGCTCATCCATTGTTAGTCATGATGCCTATATACATCATAGGCCAGCACATCATGATGCCTTTAGCTGTACCTGCCACTGAAAATTAACTGTGTAAAAGGAGATGTAGTGTTTTTTCAGCTCATGGGTGAAATATAGCACACAGTAATTAGTTACAGAATTGGTTAGCCTAAGCTTTTTGTGTGTATCTGCACATTGACTGAACCTCAAAGACCCTCACATGCTGCTGAACAGAGTTTCATCTTTTGTTCTATTGACCTGTAGATAGAAACCACTGATTCTTATTAGTAATATTACTTGCCTTGATTGAACCAGACTGACTATCAGCAGAAACTGCTTGTATAATAAAGTCAGATTGTGCTAACATGAGGGCACAAGCATAATTAAACGTCATTTTATGTTGATTGGTGAGATGGAAGTTTTTAACAATCATTATCTTGGAAAAAGGATGTGCGCCATTTGATGGTTCTTCTACAACAGACTAGCAATGCATTCATACATTTTCTACACATTTTTTGCAGCCCATTAGCATATTATATAAAAGTACATATACTTTTTAGGCGGATTGATAATCATTTTTAATTTTCATCCAGAGTATTTAATGATTACTATATCCCAACTTATTTATGGAATGTGGCTATCTATCAGCTCTGTAACAGCAGAGTTGGAAAGATAGGACCCATAAAGAGTTTTCCCTTACTGTCACATGCTAAGTGCTGCATGCAGAACCTGTTCAGGTAAAAGATTGAAAGCACAGGAAACATGCCTTCCCTACTTGGAATAATTGTGGCTGCAACACACATGACCATTTAGGAAGTCAGGCTAAAAAATGGCATTCCAACCTGGCAAGAATAGATGCTGTCCATCATAACTGGACGAGGCTCTGAAGTCAGTTTATCATTAGTGACTTTGTATACAGCTTTATTGGATGGTCTTGTAAAATTTTAAATCAGTGAAGTGTTCTGAATTTGATTATTATGTATAGTCATGATGAAAAAGCATCTGTAGTTAAATCACCCCCCCCCCCCCCAGAAGAAATGCATTATCAATATAATTCTGGTATTTGAACACATTTATGATAATAGTTTTTCATTGCAGTTATATGACTTCGTTTACCAGTGATATTAAAGTTTTTCTATGTATATGAATATTGTTCTTGAGTGCACAGTTTAGGGAGTTTACTTTTACAGGTACAACGGAGCGCGTTTGTCTGATCACAGGCAACGTGGATGCCATCTTGACAGTCTTGTCATTCATAATGGAGAAGATAAAGGAAAAGCCAGATCCCAATGCCAAGCCAGCCATTGACTTTGATAATAAACAGACAGCAGAGAGAGAGAAACAGGTAAATGGACTTTGAGTTTTGTTCATACCAGAGCTGGTTACTACCTGGTGATTTGTTCATTGCTGCAGTATTTAAACTTAATGTTGGTAATCTTGCACAAAGAGCAGCAACACATAATAGTGCTCAGGTCCCCACTATTCCTCAAGTTTCAAATTGATGTTTTCACAGTTATTGTCTTCAAACTTAGAAGCAAACTTTATTTGATGGACAAATTTTGTACATTTTGAGCATTATAGTATTTTTTCCTCGTCTTTATTGGTTCGTCTTGAATCTTTTATCAACAGTTTATTTGAAGTCCACTTAGTCATTGAAAAATGAATAGATTAATGCATGAAAAGTTTTGTTTAGAAGACACCCTGCATTATCCCCTTTAGTTTTATTATTTTGTTTTTGGTTTTGTTTAAAACCATGCATTTATTGCCAAAATGTAGCCCAATGCCTATTTCTGTAATAATTTCAATTAATTATGTATATAACTTGGTAACTTCTCATAATTGCCAGGGAATTCCCTGGCAATAAAAAAAATGCATATATATACCAAGTAAATTAGTATTAGTTGTAAGACAATGAATTCTTATAAATTGTTCTGTTATTGTACCTTCTGTATTCTTTTGCATTTTGCAGATTGGGCTACATTTTGCATGTGATTTTTATTATATACATTTTATATATGTAAATGTGAAATAATCTTTTTATTTCTTCATCTAGAATATTACCATTAAGTCCATTCCATCACCTTCATCAGATTTCAAGAAGTGCTCGCTCCCCACAGGTGAAGATTTTGGTCCCAAACAGCACAGCTGGGATGATCATTGGGAAGGGTGGCACTTACATCAAGCAGATCAAGGAGGAAAGTGGAGCATACGTTCAGATCTCTCAGAAGGCCAAAGATCAGTCTCTGGCTGAACGGTGCATCACAGTCATCTGTGAGTCCGTTTTTCCTGCTATTCACTTTTTGTATAGGCCTAATTTATGTTGCATAGTGACAGTCATAGTTTTTTCATTTTTCGGGGCAAGATGGTTTGGTTTATGCTTGTTGGTTTATAGTTTATTAGTGCTTCTGATATATTTAAGCACATGCATTTTTTAGATTGTAATACATTCATTTTGAATAATGAATGTATTTTTCTTGGCAAAGAATGGGAATTGTAATGAGCTTATTTAACTTCGTAAAAAAACAAAGTGAGCTAAGATGTCTTCCATATTGACCAAAAAGAATTAGTTAAACCTCTCAAACCAGAATGCTTATAAATATAATATTTAGGTTTGTTGACCTGTCTCATTGGAATGGTAAGCCTGAGATTCCTGGTCTGTTGTCATCTTGTGGCCAGTACTGTATATGCACAAATTACTGCTATGCTTCATATGTGGATAAATAAAGTTGCACACACTTGTAAGATGTTAAAGCTGCACAACCACATAATTGTTGTATATGAAGCACTGAGGAATTGTAACTAATACCAAATTATTTTGAGAAAAGGAAATTTTAGTTCTGTAGTGTTTTGAAATTATAGATAGATGGTTTGGTGTACCTTTTCAGATTTTATCTAGTGTGCAAAATATTTATGCAATTTGATTGCAGAAAACTCCTTAAACCATTGTCATTCTTCCATTTTTATGTAGTTTTGAAGTTTGATAATGGTCTTTGGTAATCTGCCCATGAGAAATGTTCACTGTATTGTCACACCCGAATGCTTCAGGTCCTGGCTGCTTATTGGCTGCCTTTTTATTTTTTTAGTTTATGGTTTGCATGAATTATGCACTACAATTTATCTTCTGTATGACTTTTCATGTTCAATTGTGATGATGGGAGTTCTCATTAGTTTGGAATGTCATCTCATTATTTAAAGCATGTTTTATCTAATATATTTTTTCATTATAAGTGTAAATTAAACATATTAGAAAAAATATTTAGTTAATGAACAAAATGGGATATGAATAAGTTCTAGGACAGAGAAAAAGATCTGTGTACTAGTAAACTATGCTTTATTTGCTTTTTATGCAAATCGTTCATTTAGTTTTGGATGGATGATAGTCCAGAATAGACATAGGGAAAGGTTATTATTGATTGGCAGTGAAATTATTGGGTTGTTACTCCAGAGGAAGACCAGTCATTAAAAATTTGGAAC